ATGGACAAATGATAAACTTATAGATATGCAAGATAGATTCAGGAGAGAAAAATTGTCTAGCACAACAGAGTAGGCCAACTTTTCTAGCAGCTGACCTAGCAATGGATTCAATATAATATTTCCACTTCATTTCAGCCAAAAATGTTAGCCCAGAAGGCAAGAGTCATTCACTTGGAGGTTAGTATCAATCATGACTGATGGTAGGCAGAATGGGGTCTCTCAGATAATTAGTAGAGAGTGGTTTAGTTTTGGCATTAATATCAACAAGCTGTCTGAAGGTCATTTTTGACATCAGCTACCATGATCAGACTTAGTATCCAAACAGGTGTAAATGGTTGTATCATCAGCATAGATACCAAATTCAGAGCTAACGCTATCAGGAAGGTCGTTAATGAAAATTAAAAATAAACTAGGACCACAGATAGAGCCCTGGGGGACACCTGCATTAGTGCAAAAGGATATAGAAGAGTGGCTGTTCAGGATAACTTTCATTTCACAATTTGATAAGACCAGATCAGTTCAGAAATTTGGCCAGAGACACCATAACTTTTCAATTTGTGAAGAAGACTTGCATACCAAACCTTGTTTAAAGCTTTTGAGATGTACAAAACAACAGCCCAAACCTCACCATTGTAATCTAGAGCTTGATAGACACTTTCCGCAATTATCATTAGAATATCAGCAGTTTACCTAGAGAAACAAAAGCCATATTGCTTATTTTAAAGAAGGCCCTGCAATGTTAGATGCTTAAATCAATTCAGCATTGATTAGGGCCTTTAGTAGCTTCCCAAAAAGAGGCAAAAAGCTAATAGGCTGCTAGTGAATATGCATATTTGAAAAAGATTTCTATTTGTATTTTAAACAGTGTGTATTACATATTTCAGCCAATGTACACAAGAAACCTTGATTAAATATGTGTTCTCAGGCAGGGATCAAAAATGTGTCCCTCTTTGAAGGCGAAATCACTGTCTGATCTGGTGTGTTTTACTACTCAGCTACAGATAGCATCACAGATCAACAAGGCTCTATTTTCCCTTTTTAAGGAAAGTACACTTTCTCATTTATATATTTTTCTCAAAAAGCCCATATCTGCTCAGTTTCACATGGAGTGTTTTTTTTTTCAAATATAAATAACTGTTATAATAACATTTAAAGTAATAAAAATGTCAGAAATTTTGAATTTCTCAAATGAGGATTTATTTAAAGCTATTTCTAAAGTATTCCATGTATACATTTGCCATCACTGATGACAATGGTAAATCCATATACCAACAGGAAGAACACTTGGCTATGTCAGACTCTTGGAAGAATGTTATCTGTACACAGAATGTCAACATTTCCATCAGATTATCTATTGGAATGTTAGTATATTCTCCCAGAGAGGGGTCTGATTTCAGTTGGTGTGGAACCACTGTCAGGACCTAATCTGTAAGAATTCTGGTGAACAGGCTTATCACATCCAAACATAGCATCTGATTATCGAATCGGTACAGACCCAATGTGATACACTAGACATTTTTTCAATTCTTCCTTTAAATTTTCAGTATTTTTTTTTTTTTTTTTTTTTAAACTGGTCAATTTTACACTTACATTTTTAAATAAATATTTATAGGTAAATCCCACAGCTCAAAAAGCTCCAGTTAGTAGTATTTTTTAATACATAAGCTTTAGCTTGTTACAGAATTAGACATTACAAGTCATCTCACCAATAAAAGTTCTTTTTAATATAGGTTTTCCGTTTGCTTTCCATGTGTCTAATTGCATTTTTAGATCCACATTATTAATTTTCACATACACAAATTTTATTTGGTTTTCTGTAATTATTTTTCCATCACAACACTATGTACAAAATTTTTCTGTGAGATCTTTTCCTTGCTTTAGTTTTATAGTATAACTTTATATGTCCTAATTTTCCACACTTGTAGCACTTTGAATTCTTAAAGGGACTGTCAACTTTCTTTTTCCACATTTTTCTTTAACACATTCTTTTTTTTCAGTTTCTTCCCTATCGTGTACCAGATTTAGGATTCTGACATTCGTCAAATATTTCTTGTAGTGGTAGTTTTTGATTTTGTTCAACATTCATTATAATTCTTACACATATTTCAGTATCTTTTTTCACCATTAGCCCTTGAACAAAAATTAACTCTTTAAACATATCCAAAGTCAGTTCATTTAATTTGAATCTTTCACACTTCTTGCTAACAATTTCAGCATATGTGACAAAATCTTCATCTTTTTTCATCAGAGTCATACATTTCCAACAAATATTGAATAATGAGCTTTTCTTGCTAAAAATTTTATTCAGAATATTTACTGTTTCTTCAAAGAAAATTCCTCCTGGTTTTTTCAGTAGTACAAAATTACAGTATTTTTCATGTCCTACCAGTGCTAACTTTCTCAACAAAAGTTTTTTTTTCTTGTCTTGCCAGTGACTGCATTCTTCTCTGAAAATTTGCTTGTATCTTCTAAAATAAGCAGAATTCAGTTATGGCATTTGCCATCACTTCAGAAGTGAAAAAAACTTGGGGAATTTTCCGTTGTCTTCCACATTATTTCAATTAAATTTTGTTGTTATTTTTGGAGTTCCAACTGCTGCTGTTGTATCACTTGGACTAAAAATTCTTCCATATTTGAACAACATCTTTTTTTCTCTCTTTTTTTTAGACACAACAAAAAAGAAAAAATTAAACCAATGTGGCTCTAATTTTTCATTGTCATTGTTATCATGTGCACCCCCCCCCCCAAAAAAAAATGTACTTCTTTCCCTACTCATATGAGTTTTGATCCCTTGTCACTGCAGTTATAATATTATGTCTTGCTCAGGCTACTTGCCATGGATTCTGTTAGAATTTCTCCTGCCTGACTCCAATGGACTTCTGATGCACTTGGAGTTCTTTATTTAAGGTGTCTTGCCTAGTTCATTTATATTACTGCGAGTATGTTATTTACTCCACAACACACATTTGATAAAGATTTTTATGGCTTCTATTGCCATCTTATTCTTTTTTGTCTCTTGCTCCATTCAGATAATGCCAACTATAAATGGTGAGGTGTATAGCAGAAAACTTTATTTTGTTTTACTGTTGTGTTAATAAGAGTGACTATGTGAGAATATAAGATGGAGTTTATTGAACAATAATAATCACTACCATAATAATAAAAATGATGATACAAATGGGAGCAAGCAAGTGAGATATTACATGTGACTATAGGATGATAATACTACTACTACTAATAATAATAATAATGATTATAACAACAACAAAGATGATAAAAATGGGGATATGCAAGTAAAGGAGATATTATCTGTGATTATATGATAGGTATCTCCACTAATTCACAATAGCTAAAGTCCTCAGGTGATGTGGTTTCTGTTAATTGGTACAGTTCTTTGTTTGTGAATCTGTAGCACCAGTGTAGAATGTTCAAAGAAAGATGGTCTTCACAAAGACTTACAGGCTTCACTTGCTTAAATCCATTTTTGACCATTGATCTTAGAAAGCAATTGTATATAGCTGCTAGTTTAGCTATTTCTGAATGGGTTTGGCAGCATGCATAACATCCACCTAAAAGTCTCAACGAGGTTATTTAAGAACATAACATGAGTTGTGAGGTTAATGTTTTAATTTTGTAGTAATTTGTGATGTTGGGCAACCCCCCCACAAAAAAAAACAGTAGTTCAGCTTATTCTATGTTCAATTTTCTTTTCTACTATACTCAATTTGTCTAACTTATCCATACACTGAGGTGTTTGAAGTGTTTAGTATTTACTAAATTTCGATGGATTCAGGGTACATGCCATCATTGCTTTCATTCCAATTCCAGGCCATAGCTCCTGTTTTGGAAAGATTTATCTTGAGTTCTATTTCTTGGTACACTTGATAGAGGACATTGATTTTCTGTTCAATTTGTAGATTTGTTTAGGATGTGGTATAGAGTGCTTAAATGATCAGTAATCACCTCTTCATATTAGTGTTTGTAAATACACAAGGTATAGTTTAAGAAAAGATTATTAACACTTAAAAAAGCATATATATATATATATATATATATATATATATAAAATCATCCACAGATAGACTGTTTCACTGTATCACAGCTTCTTCATGTGGCTAGATGTCTGATTGCTTCAAGTCGGGATTGAAACCCAACTGATTTGACATCAGTCAGATATCTTACACCTAGGCCATCATCACACGACAGAAAGGATGGGATTTTTAATGTTTTTCTCTATACAAAATACACCAGTGTCTCGAAGAACACAATTCAATTTACTTGATATATATAAAAGACAAAGTGATTTTTTTTTCTTTTAGCAATGCATTTCCTTCTCTGAGGAATTTTATCAAGGCATCACAATAATCAATAAAGTTGCTCAGTGAATGAAACATGTTGGTAAAAAACTTTTCCTTTCCTCTTGTATTTTTATTGTCTTTACTGATATAATTTATTTATATCTGAATTTTTATATATATATATATATATATATAATATGTTTGTGTGTGTGTGTGCCTCCTGTTCTTTATAATGAACCAACAGTCAGATCACATTGAAAAGCCCAATTTTCATTTAATCATCAAAGTTAAGCAGCATCAAGCCCAATCAGTACTCAGATGGGGGACAACTTGGGAACACTGAGCACTGTAAATAACCTCTACAATCTGAAATGTGTTTCAGCTTTAAATAACACAAAGAGGGTTGAAAAGTCATAAAAATAAAATTAATCATTCTTAGTAACAGGAAGCATTACTTGATGTCAGTATGACTTGGTTTTTTATTTCTTTGTTTTGTCTTTCTTTGGATATTTTTACTTTTATTGATTTAAAATTCAAAATTCTTTCATACATACAACAATAGAGTTAATTGTAGAGATAAAAATCTTAGATTTCTCTTGCAGAGACTAAGGCCAATGCAACTGCAAAATTACTTCAATACTGGTATCACTTTTTTTTAAAGATAAGAGTAAACTAATACATTTATATATAAAATTTATTTACCTTCTCGGTCATCCTCTTTAAGAGAACGTTCCTTTATATCATGGCAATCTGTTTCCTCAGGGCATGTATGGTGTGTTGCATCTGACTTGCTTCTTTGAACTTTTCTTCTGAAAGAAAAGCAAACACTAATCAGTTCAATTTTCTCACTTCTTGAAAATGTCAATATTTTCACACAAATTCTTTGAACTTTTTGACATTTTGTGTCTATCAGGTTAACTAAAACTTATCTTTAACTAAATAAAAAATCTTCAGTATAACAGTGCTTCTTGCCACACATCACGTGCAAGAAAGATATTTCTTGTGGATGAAGATGTTCAACTTATGGAACACTAGTCAGCACAATGTCCTCATCTCAATGCAATTTAAACATTGTGGTGAAAATTGAAGAAAATAAAAATGACATCCAAGTGAAATTTTCCTCACCACAAACTATGATTCACTTTTGTTCATGCTTTTTTCTATTAAATGTTTAGTGATGAATACAAAATAGAGTTACATTATAAAGCTAGAAGAGCAGTTGGAGAAAGAACAATTCAAAATACACCACAAACATGACAACATTTGGTGGTAGACATGTAATGTTGTGAGGTTGCATCAAAAGCAATGGTAGAAGGAAATTAGTAAAAGTTGATGGAAACCTAAACTGTGAAAAATATATTAGTTTACCATAGTCTAATCTTTTGCCAGACTACAAAGATGGAAAAATCTTCAGTATAACAGTGCTTCTTACCACACATCACGTGCAAGAAAGAGGTTTCTTCTAGATGAAGATGTTCAACTTATGGAACACTAGTCAACACAATGTCATAATCTCTATATAATTTAAACATTGTGGTGAAAATTGAAGAAAAATGTGCCCCAACAAAATCTATGCAATCTCCAAGAACTTTGGGATTACCATTAAGAAGAATGGGAAAAAATTCACAGGAAAATCTGAACCATGTTCCATTCAACGTCACATCAAATTGAGACAATTATCCAAGCCAAAATTTGCCACACGGATTACTAACTCCATATTTTGACATTTTCTACTTTCTGTAATAATGAAGATCATTTTTTTTTTTTGCAATAACCTTTTTTTTAACATAAGAAAGGAGCTGTAAGGGGTAATTTTCTCTGGTGGCTCAGTAATTACTGCATGGCCTTTTTTTAAGCATCACAATGCTTAAGATGTTCTATCATACAGCATTAACAAAAATGCAGTAACTTATTTTCTGGCCCACAAAGATCATAAAATGTACTGAGAAAAGCATAATCACTCTTAATTTGAAGATACTAGAAATTCCATATTATCAATGAATAAATATATTACTATACATTATACAAAGATGTAAGAAGCCAAAATATTAATATAATAAATGAACTAAAAAAAAAAAAAAATACCCAGTGTCATTGACACCAGCTATTATTTTAACTACCTCCACTCCTCAGCAATGGTTGTTTTAAAAAATGATGATTAGAATGTTAAAAAATTCTAAACATGGAAAGTGAATTTATAAATTGTGTTTTTGAGAATTGACAACAAAATATTAAAAACTATTTATTTATTAGATTGTGTATTTACAAGAATTTTATATTTACAACAGTCTGAGAACTGATATAATTATATTAAAATTAATGCAATGCAATATTTATCATTTACCAATTTATAAATAAATATGAAAACAATATTTTTATTCATAAATTTATAAACATTTACTAAATTATTAAAATATGTGAAACAACTATAAGGAAATCTTAATTATTTACTATTTTATAAAGTTTTGAATCAATTGGCATCAGCTAATGTTTTGCCAACTATTCAAATATTTATTATTCAAATGTCTATATTCAAATGTTTATTATTTTTGTTTTAAATTCTCAAGAACGAAATATGTATAAATTCACTTTCATACATTTAGGTTTTATTACAATTCTAATCATCGCTTTTTAAAACAATAAACATTGCTGAGGAGTGAAGGTAGTTAAAATACTAGAAGTGTCAATAAAAAAAAAACATCATTTTGATACACCATTTTTTTTGCAGGCAGAAAGGTCCAAGATTGCCAAACAAAAATAAAAAATAATTTTTCACTTTATCAGAATTCACTTTGAATATATATTTTTGACACAATTTATTGCAAAGAAATCCAATTTTAGACATGAAAATTTCTTCAAGTAATCTTTAGATAGATAAATAGATAGAGATTCAGAGAATTTTTTGTTTATACAGCATGAGGAATGGCAAAATGCCAAAACAAATTTTACTCTCATTTTCTGCCAACAGTAGAAGAAAGATAGAAAAAAAAACAGAAGACTGGAATTTGAGCACCAAAAATTCCATATTATTTGTGTTGTTTAATATTTGCTTCAGTACAGCAAAAGAAAATTTTTAAAGAATTCAAAGAAATAGTTGTTTTTTTTTTATGTGCAAAGGATAAAAATTAAATACATCCACAGCTTACCAAAGTAAAGGCCTAGAAATCTACCATTTCTGCATGCATTGAATATTGTTGCCATATCTGGTCTGGTGCTTCTGCTATGTATTTAGAGACTCTTGTTGACAAAATCCAAAGAAGAATCTACAATGTTATCAGTCCTGAACTAGTATCTTGGATTTTGTCACTTTCCTACCACTAATATAACATAGCTTCCCTGTAACTTTTGTATAAATATTTTCATGGTAATTGTTCTGATATACTTTCTTCTTTGCTATCTCAACTTTATGAATTTAAGCACAGTACTAGATTGGCAATTAGGTCTCATTATTTTACAGTTGAAATTGCTAGATGTAACCATAAGTTCTAACAGATTTTTTTCTCTCACACTTCTCACTTGTAGAATTCTCTTCTGGCTTTGAAAAAATTTTAATTCAGTGTCAATCGTCATCTTCTGTCTCTTTAATTCCTCTTTTTTATTGGTCTCTCTCCTCTCGTTTTTTATCCTCAGATTCTTTCACCAGTCAGTCACCTCTTGCATCTTAGTTGATTTATTGCCTTACTTTAAATTATTTAAAAAAGGAAAAATAAAAGGTTAGTCTAAATGATTACTAACATACAATCATTGAGAAAATTCTTAGCAAAAGATTTGTTAATCCAATAATTATATTAATTAATAATTTTAACTAATTGATACTTCAATTGTCACTTATTGTTAATGTTATATCAAGGGTTTTTCTTAATATTTCATTTCTGATATGAGTAAATGCCATTATTTTATATTATTTCAGACTATTGTTCTCATCTTGGTTGATATAGATATTAATATAGACACATTTTGACTAAGAACCCACTGGTCATTTTAAGGTGTCCATTGATTGACCAATATGAGATATCTACTGATTATTATGATATTTTGTCCCTGGATCAGGTAATGAAGCACCAATTCAGCAGGAATGAACAATATCTGATATCAGAGAGACAAAATATCACAATAATCAACAGATATCCAATATCAGCCAATTAATCAACACCTGATGATGACCAGTGTGTACTTGGTCGAAACGGGTGTGTAATAACATCTATATCAACCAAGATGAGAACAATAGTCTAAATTAATGTAAGAATATCAAGGACTATTGACCAGAAATGGTAATGTCCAAACTTTAAATGGGAAATAGTAAAGGTTATACCAAGAAAAAATCTGAAAGCAAGTATGTTCGTCCTAAATTACTACTAACCTATAATTACTGAGAAAATTTTTAGCAAGGAACTTGTTAGTGATATCCAATAATTAGCTAATTAATAACTATACAAAGAATCAATTATTTCATAATGATAAAAAAAGAAGAGAAAATGTATTTGCATAAATCAATTAGAATGAATTTCATAAAAATACTCACCAATGAAGCATAAAAGTATTTTAGGAAAAAATAATGAGAATTAAGGAAAGAATAATTTTGATAATATTTGAAAGTTTTATCCCATGACTATCTTAACTTTCCCATACATTATTTGTTTTTATGACACTTCTTGAATAGACTGATCCACTCATAAAAAATGCAGGAATATTTTGGGGAAAGAATTTTAGCATATTAGCATTTTTTAGACCTTCCTTAGACTGCGACACTTGTCAGAATTTTAAAATACTGATTCTTTTCCATCATTTTAGAAGAGGTGTGGTGCCATGTTCCTAATATCAATACAGTGTAAAATTGGTACCTGACTTTTACAGTTATTAGACACTTAACTGTTATTTGCAAATGTCAAGTTTGTAACTGTGATAACATTATTGATATCAGCATTAATTTTTAATTTTCTAAATTTCTTGACCATTTTTTTAACTTTTTAAAAAAAGGTTTACAGCCACATAACATTGAAACAATGGTTCCCATGCAATCACTGAAGTTAAGCAACATCAAGCCTGGTAATTACCTATATGGGTGACCACTTGGGAATAAATACCAGGTGCTGTAAGTTTGGATGTGTGGGTGGTTTAATGGATTGGAATTGTTAATCAAAAAGCTGAGTTCCAATTCCAGTTGGGTTTTGTTATATTCACTTATGGGCAAATACCCTTGGTAAAGGTATGAATCAACCACTTCTCCCCCAGCTATGGGTTAATTAGTAAGACTTGTATCAGTAAACCATTTATCACAAAAAAAAAAAAAAAAAAAAAAAAAAAAACTTACACTCTAAAAACATTTTCTAGCTTAACTTGCAAAGTGTTGATAAGCAGTAGAAAACGAATCAATTTAAAAAAAAAAATTAAATTTTTTTTTGTATGGGATTTTTTCAGAAGCACATGCACAAACATTTGATGTAAAGAATTATTTTTCTTAAATGAAGAATGGATATATAATTTTATCAATTTATGCAAATTTATGTTCTTTAATTAAAAATATACATATTCATTTGTTTTTTTTTATTATTTAAACCTCTTCAAAAAAGCCTGTTTTCATATGCAGAACAACTAAGTCCAATAACTATAAAAGTTCTACCATTTTTTCCTACAGGTACTTGATAAACATCACAATGCCAAATTTTGTCCAGTTTCAAGAGTAGTTGGTACTAGTTACTTTTGAAGTCTTCTTTGAACAGTCATATGTTAGTTTACCTGGAAAAAAACAATGCAGTTTTTAATGAGAAGAGTTGAAATTAATGAATGCACACGAGATTTCACTTCCCTG